CTTATGGATGAGAGGAGTCCAAATGAATTCAGTGGTGAGCGAATCAGATAATTGGTGTTTTAACAGCATAATCATTCACACTATTCAAACTGTTACTGAATTTCTGCATCCCTAAATTCCGAAAGAAAGCACAAACTATTGATGTTGCACTTAGTGAAAAGAAAAAATTCAAGATGTCGCTGTTTCATTTTCAATGATGTGAAGTTTCTTCATGTTTACACAAAAACAAACTGTTTTGTATTTTGCACTAGACCACCGTGCTACCATCTTTTAGAATTTCTCTTGCAGAAAGCAAAAGTTCAGTCTTCGATGCTTTTGCTTTTGAGCTGTAATGGTGTTGAGTCACACTCTTTAGAATTCTATTATAGTCCAAATCAAAGCAGTTGACTTCGGGGCCTTTGACTTTTGAACTCAAAAATTAGAATGACTAAGCATCAACCCATGTAAGGTTTCATGATAACTACTACATATTTGCTGCTTGTTTTAGACCGGGGGTCGGCAACCCAAAATGTTGAAAGAACCATATTAGACCAAAAAGGGGTGCACAACCTTTTTTGACCGAAGATCCACTTTTCGATCAACCAGCCTCCTGAGGTCAACCCATTAACGCACACACTTACACACGCATGCCATAATGAGCAACAGCCATAACGGCCGCTAAGATGAACGAGGCACGGGACACACTTTTGCAGCGTGTTAACATATCATAGCTCACGTGTACTGTTCAAAATTGCTTCCCATTCTTTGCTAGTACCCTCGATGAATTGTACAAGAAACACCGTTATTTATTTATTTGCTATTTTTTTACAAGAGCCACCTGCCTGGCATCCCGTCCTGCTAATGGAAACGTGTGTTGACGGCTGACGCAAATCTTTGTTGACAGAAATGTTGAAATGTAATATTTATGCTACACATTTTTACATCCTTGGAAAACTTCAAGAATGTTTGTGTCATGTTTGTCCTCCGACAGAAACCATATTAAAACAAAAAATATATTTCCCTCCCCCATCTTTTTCCATTTTCAAACATTTTTGAAAAAGCTTCAGGGAGCCACTAGGGCAGCGCTGAAGAGCCGCATGTGCCGACCCCCGTTTGAGACCATCATTTTTTTTTTTGTTTTGCAGCTGCCCCAAGGCACAAAATCAATGCCCCAGTGACAAGGCTCCTGCCTGCTCTGTCACACAATATCCCCTCAGCCAGTGTTTTTAGTTATTTTTTGATGTACTTTTTGCGCTTCACATTTTCGCTTTTCACACAGACGAGCGAACGGGGGCGCAATTGCCCATGTCACTTGCCAATTACATCATTGGCAAGGAGAGAGCTTGGACCTTACCTGCCAATGTCATGCGTGGACCTCAGTGAGTCCATTTCTGTTTTCGCAGTGTCCGCCTACTCGTGGGCATTGCGTCTCTGACCTCCCTGATTTTGACACTACTGATGGATGACACTAGGATTGGTCGGGAAAAGACAATTTCCCTCCCACAACGACGCACAACGGCACAAACGCCAGCCAATTCTACCAGTGTGACATCGAGCAAAACACCAAAGGTAATTCCACCCATGCGCGCACTTGGACTGCACTTTGCGCTAGACTTGCGGTCTGAACGAAAACAGGGCCCTTACTTACTTAACAATTAACGACTGTAATTCTAATCTTAAAAAAGAAAAAAAAATGTTTTTTGTCGTTTTGTGTGAGACAACGCCTTTTCCTTCCTTCTTTCTTGGGTCAACTGTGTTAGGGTGGTTCTGTTTGTGACCAACAGGTGGCACTGTAGGGCTCCTCCTGCAGTGGCACACCTGTTGGTCATTGTTTCATTAGTGTGTGGTTAAAAGGACTGCCCGAACAGCCAATGTCGAATCATTGTGTGTCTCTGTGCACATGTCATGTTGTGTTTTCTGTCTTAGGTTTTTGCTACTTTGATTTCTTTAGTTTTTTTCTGGACTTTATTTGAGTGAGTTTTTTTGAGTTAGTTTCTCCGGTGTGTTCCTGTTTGCAATTTTGTTAAATACATCTTGGTCACTCCAACTTGCTCCTCCCTGCCTCCCTGCTTTTTGGGGTCCTCCAACTACCACCATCATGCAAAACGTGACAAACTCTTAAGTCTGTAGGTCACAACCTCCTTGGCAGTGAATCGAGGATGCAGTTAGCAGTTGCGGTTCTAGATCAATTTCACTGAGGGGGCCTGGCTGGGGCCAGGGATTTTGATGGAGGGGCACATTCAACCCAGAGCAAAAAACACAAAGATTCGAAATCTTATTTGACTTTTAATTTTCATCTAACTTTTAAACCTTTGCAGACATAGCATGACAGTGACGATGAAAAAAGTATCATAATCACAGTCGTACTGAATTAAGTGCTGATAAAAGATTCATATAGGTCCAGATCTTGTGGAACAGTCTTAAGATGCCCCTACTATAACAGCAACTATGTTCTGCAATTCTGGTGATTTCTGGCAAAATGTCCGAAGTGATTCAAGATTCAGTGCTTTTGACCTCTGAGACCAGGGGTGTCAAACTCAGGTCCTGGAGGGTCGCTGTCCTACATGTTTTCCAAGTCTCCCTGTTGAAACACACCTGATTCAAATGAATACGTTCAAAATCAGGCTTCCCCAGACCTTGCTGATGATATGATCATTTGAATCAGGTGTGTAGCAACAGGGAGACTTGGAAAACATGCAGGACAGTGGCCCTCCAGGACCGGAGTCTGACACCTGTGTCCTAAGGGGTGTTCACACGGCACACATTTGCTCCGGTGCTGCACCGATACATTTTGTTACGATATATCTTACACCGGAGCAAATTTTTGTGGAGCGTTCACATGTACAAAGCCGCTGAGCGTGTTAACCCCGGCGCAGCCCCACTTGCATTCACACGGCAGTTTCTGCAGCGGTGCAAAACGATAGAAAACAAAGAGCTGTCGTGTTGGTTCTTTTTAAAACATACACAACTCAAGCAACTACTGTACAGGCACGTCCTTCTCCTTCTCGGTCTCCGTGCCTTCTGCTCAAGAGGCGTTCATTGACCGCCCCCGAAAACGTAAATCAACGATGACTTCAATGACACTCAGAAAAGCAAACATATAATGTGCCAAACAGAAAATCAAAAGAGGAAATCACTAAATAAATTCTATGGGGGGATTGTGAACACACAACAGAGGAACAAACTACACAAACAACTCCGAGACAGTCCAGTCTCCTACAAAAGGAAAGATGACGGAAGTACAACAGAGCACGAAAGCAACGCATTCTAGCCGTATGTAATCAACTCTTCTCATGCGTAGCGAGGCTACTCCCCCCGCAAACGAGCATTTGCTCCGGAGCAAATTTTTAACTCTGTAGCGTTCACATGTACCATTTTACATCGGTGCTGCCCCGCAAACGACCACCTCCCTGAGCAGGGTTAAATTTGCTCCGGTTTCAGCTGTTTTCAGGGGCTACACCGGTGTAACTTTGCACGTGTGAACGCTCTACTGGGGCTGCCCGGCGCAGCACGGGAGCAAATGTTGCCGTGTGAACACCCCTCTAGACTCAATGCAAAGTACACCAAGATTGCTTAATCTATCATCATTGATAGTGGACATGAGGTATGTCTTCACAAGATTTAATGTGGAAAAACTCCGTTCTGCATTGGCGGGTCTTCTTTACATTTGCTGATGTCTGTGGAGAAAGACAAACCAAAATCATGTCAACATAATTTTTGCATGCACACAGCATATACACTAACCTGCTACACTTACGCTGTTTAGGCACTCAGACAAACATAATTGTCTAAAATGTATTCATGAATGCTATTTATTATTTGCATTAATTAATTAATTTATTCATTTAATGTATTCAGTAAGTATAAATTAATACATTCTAAAGCCTGACCAGGGACGAAAATTGCAAACACACTGAAGCTAAATGTTTTACATGCATCTAATTGTCCCAATTTTAAAAGGCAATGTCTTATATATTGTTCCTGTTCAATCAACATTAAAAAATAAGTAGGGATATGAACAAAAGTTACTCTCTCACACACACACACACACACACACACACACACACACACACACACACACACACACACACACACAAACACCCCAACACACACACACACACACAAACCAACAAACACACACACACAACCAAAAA